CTCATTTGGATTTAAGGATCTCATTTGGATTTAAGATCATCAAGGTGAACCTGAAGAGACCTGATGCTGAAACTGCTGCAGAAGGTGGGCACACAAATCCCAACAGAGCTAAATCTTACATGAACGGTTAAACAGCATAATAATGACTCAGCATCCACACAATAAGAAGCAATAAAGAATATTGCATAAAAACAAAAACTTTGACAATARTATCAAAACAAAAACAGCACACTTAAAAGACTGAAGTCTGCACCGAGCGGAGATCGTAAGGATATAGCAAGTCTAAAGTCTTCAATTACAACAGACCATGACATAAACCTGACCTCAGCCATCAATGAGCTCTATGAGAACAGATCATTTAGCATGTATTCACGGTTACAAACAGCTCGTTACTGTCCTCTAATCAGAGACCAAAGTGCCAATTTCTCTTGAAGGCAGCTCTGCATCTACAAACTGCAAATGCATCACTTCCTGTTAGGAGAAGATTTTCCACTGTGACCTTTCACACGCCTGAGTTTAAAATTGGATAAGCACAAACAGGCCTCTCTCTGCTCAATGAGATTCTCTCTGGTCCGGCCTTTATTTGTTCTGCGAGATAAAAAAATTTCACAGCGAGCTGGCCTTACAGGTCGAAACGAAGTTAGAAAGGCAGTGAGGAATTTGACAGCAGCTGAAACTCTCATAAACCTACAAGAATTGTTGGAAACTTACTCACCTAAAGGGAGAGATAGTTGTTGTGTCAGCTGTCTGTGTTTGCCATTAATCATTTAGAAAAAATTAAATAAAACCAGCTCTGTAGTTTGATCCAGTTATAAGTGGAATTAAATATAACCCAAACCCAAAAATAGTTGGGTTGTTGTGAAAATATAACTAAAAACAGAATATAGCTAAAAACCTGAAACGTGTAATTTTCACAATGGAACATAGTAAATAGAGCTAGGCGGTATGACCCAAGTTTTATATCACGGTATTTTCAACAGTTATACCGGTTCCACTGTATTTGACGGTATTTTTTCCCCACAGCTCAGCTGATAATAAAATGTACAAACTGTGCTTATTGACTTTTTTCTTTTACTGTACCTCTGTATCACTGTTTCCCTCCTCTTGTACGTCTTTTCTTCTTTGGTTGTAGACAGTAATCATGCATTTTGGTCCGATAGTGAAGGGTTGAGAAAAATCATTATCTGGTCTATTGTTGCGTGTTAATAAAACTTAAAAGGACAACTCACTTTGCACACCAGTCAACTCAGCTACACTACAAAACTACTTCCCCCCGGGCTTTTCACAATAGAAGCACGCTAGAGTCTCCACGCAATAGCATCTCCATTATAACGTAGCAYGTTAAATCTAACTGTGCACATCACTGAAGAGGTGTTTACTATTCAGCGATGGTRAAAACGGGTTGTTTTTTTTTACGTCAGACCATATAAGCGGCTGAAACACACCACTAGGGTTTGGCGATATTGGCAAAAGAATTAATCACGATTAATTGTGGTATTTAGCCGACAACGATTACTTTGATGATTAATCCTCTGGAGTCCCTGGACACCCTTATGTCCTGGTCACATGACCTATTTAGTGGGAAAGCTTTGCTCTTCGTAAAAATCTTTTCCAAATTGTGTCAAAATCAGATTTCAGGCTGTACTTGAAATTTTAAATTGTGTTGATTGATAAATAAATTACAGAACTTTTGTTTAAATGTTCGTCAGGTTTGAAGCGGAGAGGAGCACCGAGCAGACTGACCGGGGAAATATCCAGTCAGTCTGCCTGGTGGCATTAATCGTATTAATCGTTAAGTGCCAAAAAATAATCGATTAATGTTTTTCTGACGATTAATTGCACACGATTCGATTATGTCCAACCCTACACACATCTGCTGCCAGTTGTTCCAACAATAACGTTAGCATGCTAATGCGCTTAGCGGTGCTGCAAGGAAACATGTCCCCAGGGAAACAGTTCACTGGCGGCTGCAGCGAAACGTTCCGCACGTGTTCAGGCTATTTACACCGGTATTCAGAAAAGTCATATCATAACAAAAATAAAAAACGGTTTTCGGTACAAAACGGCATACCGCCCAGCACTAATAGTAAACATGAAATGTCTAAACTAAAACATTAAGTGATTTTAAAGGCAACAAAAGTAGGGCTGGGTATTGTTAACAACCTCACAATTTAATTTGATATTGCTTTAAATGCTTTGATATCAATTTTACAATAAGAAGTACTCAAATAATTCAATAGAGTCACTGTGGATTATCTTTACATATTTATTTTTCTTGCCCATATGGACAGAAATGTTATACAAGAAAATTTTTGAGAAAYTAAATATCTGAAAGCACAATAATAGTTGTTCTAAATATAKAGYGCAAACATAAAACCTCACAAACTGGCCAGGGGATGGAACTGAATCAGAGGATTTTCTGAATCGATAATGAATTGGTAAAAAAAATAAATACTGCAATGCATTGATGAATCTGTATATTTACCCACCTCTAAACAAGAGACTGTAAAAGGGAGTCGTACAAGTAAGAAACATCTAAATAATTAAAGTTATTGTCAACAGGTCAGTAAGAGGACTGTGTATAAAAAAAAAAGGAGAATTTTAGAGCGTCTGAATCTCTCAGAAGTGAAGATGGGCAGAGGTTCACCACTCTGAGAGAAACCAGATCTAAAATTAGGACCATTTCAGAATGTTGTTGGGCTTTTTCTTTCATTTGCTCAAAATATTCGTTAATTGTTTTAATGCCAGATGCCGTTCCTGAYGCAACSTGGGCTCAAACATGAAGCCTAAGGAATTACAAGACTGGCACYGACCGCCGAGCTGCTGCAGCCATACTACTTCTGAATAATGTTCCTCCGTGGAAAACTGGGAGGACTTTTAAYGCCCCGCCGTCTGTCTACAGTTCATAATATCGTCAAAACGTTTCCCAGAACCCAGAGAAATATCTGGGTTCAAAGGGTTCTGTTACTGATTTTCTTGCAGTTTTGTGTCAAAACTAGTTTCCCCAACAGTGAGACACSGCCTCAAGTCTGACAGGTTAATCTGAGCGAGCCCACCACTGGGGAAGAAAGAAAAACCACTTTGTTGCTCATGTCTGTGTCTGTTAGCAAAATACCTGATGAAGCACAAACTCAGTGCTAAGCTAACCAAACAAGAACACTTTCTGTTCTTGATAAACTCTTGATGAAAAGACATCATCCCTCAAAGACTCAGTAATGTTTAACCCTCCAGCTGTCCTGGGGGTCAAAGTGGGTCTTTTTGACCCCAGGGCAGCAGGGAGCTTATATACGGCCCCAATTMGAAGTGAAGTGGGACAGTTTTGTCGTGTGCGCACAGTGAGCACGAAGACGAAAGTGATGGAATTACTGCAGGAGCTGTAGCTGTGCCGAGTGACGTCACTGCTCAGATATTTAGTCTGCAGAAACACTTAAGTCCCCTTTTTTCCCCCACTTTCATAAAATCACGAGGCTCTGGTTACACTGGTGCATATTTGYATTTAAAGGCCTAGCGTTCGTTAAAGGAACGCAGATATCACCTGCCACCTTTGACGCCAGAGTTTTARACTTATAAGATCGTGTTATGATGAGAAACGCAGTTTGGACGAACTTTGAAAGTAAAGTTACGTATGCTCAATCTGTTAACCCTTTAGATTATGTGCTGAGGATGACTGAGTTACTGCAACACGCTGGAGCAGTGGTTAGTGTCCTGGCCTCACAGCAACAAGGTGTTCTGCCGTWTTGTGTCGGGTTTACATGTTCTCTCTGTGCACATGTGGGTTTTCTCGGGGTGCTGTGGTTTCTTATAGATTAAAAACGTGCACGTTAGGGATAATTTAGTGTGGTTGTTCATCTCATTGGTCTCTATGTGGCCCTGTGATGGACTGAAGACCTGTCCATCATGGATGGATGGATGGATGGATGGATGGATGGATGGATGGAAGTACAACTGATACAGGGAGACATTTAGGGGGTTCATATGTTCACCTAGCTAGAGCGGCCATCTTGGATGTGACTGACTAAAGGTCAAAGAGCACATTTACTTTCTGAGTTTCTAACTCATCCACTGGCTCAGTGGATATTTTGCTAACAGACARAAAGTGTTCAGATGAAGGAGAGACCCCGGGCAGGGCCCAGAAGAACCTGGATGTGAGAGGACACAGAGCTAACTGCAGGTCCAAATACAAGAAACCACCTCATCTAAACCCTCTCAGAACCGACACGAGATTTGGTTCTGACTTCGGACGGGTTTAAAGTCATTTCCTTTGGCTGGTTCCACTAGAGTTCAGGGTTCTGAAAGCTCGGAGGCAGATGACTGAACTGAAAATCTGCTTCGGGTTTGAAGAAACAGATGTTAGAAAAAGAAAAAAAAAGTACTTGATCCAGATTCTGAAGAGTTCTGAAGAGTTCGGGACAGAATCTGACACTTTCAGCCTTTATGTTAGAACCAGGCAGGGAGTTTTAGAACAGAACCGAATATATTTATTTTWAGAATAGAACCTGGGTTCATGATTTTTTATTTATTTATTTAGATTTTCCCAGAATTTTGTTCAGAACCACTCGTGTTTACGGTAGAACCTAAAACTTTTTCAAAATTTAAAGACAGAACCACACAGTTCAGAACAGAACCAAAGAKAGGTTTTTGGGTCAGAAACAAAGTTTTCGGTCAAAAACCTGAGACTTACTTTACTTTTGACTTCAGCAGACAGTCCGTACATTGGTCCTTTGTTAAAATGAGTCATTTTCTGCGCCTAATCCCAGGGGTGGGGGAGTAAAAATAAAATAAAATAAAAGTTCTGCAAACAGAAAAAAAAAATTAATCCAACAATTAAACTCGAAGGACCAGAGACTTTCCCAGAGCAGCGAACCGAAGATCCGAGAACTAGTTAAAAAAAAAAATCTCGTCCAACCCTTTTGGTCAGCATCAACCAATCACAGCAGGCGTACGTCGTGGCGTCACGAGATCCGCTCCTTTTCTTTCAGCCGGGCGATGGCTCGGGTAGAAGAACGGATGGAGGAGGAAAGGAGGAGCAAAAAGTAGAGCGGCGGAGATGAATGAGGCAGAATGAATCGATCAGGCAGTGATTTGTCATCATTCAGACAAGGGATATGCAACAGAAAGCTCCTCCTTTTAAACACAAAGCCTGCAATTTACCAGATTTAGCCGATTCACTGGTTTGAATCATCACATTTGGATCTTGAAAGAAAAACAGCTTTATTTATTTATTTATTTATTTTTTTTTACATCAGTCTTGTTGTTTTGCCAGTTTATTGCCTGGATCTGACCAGGGCATTTGACTGATGTCTCTCAGCTGATAYGCCTCTTGATCTGGCTTCATCAGCCAGGCTACAAATAGTGTGCAGACAATAAGGCCAGGTTGTGTAGATTTTTTTTAAAAGATACAGTCATGGGAAAAGGAAATTCGCCGTCTTTCAGGATATATGCATGATAATCAACTTGTCTGGTTTTTTTTTTATCAAGTTCCAAAAATAATTTAAAACCTAACCAAGTGAACAAAGCACCCAACAGATTTCTCTGAATTCACATTTATTGAACAAAAATAAATGTTAAATCTCTGAGTAAAAAAACAACTTTTTGTTTGTAGAAGCTCTCAGTAGTGGTTTTCTGCAGGCCTTTATCAGTCTCTCGTGGTTGTGGAGGAATTCTGACCCACTCTTCTTTCCATCGTTGCTTCAGCTCATGGAGGTTTACAGGCATTAGAAGGAGCACAGCTCTCTTAAACGGATAATCTTTTATTTTTTTTACATGATTTTCTGTCAGACACTGGTAGAACAGAAGAGCAGCGGTTAGAAATGTTGTCTCACAGGAACAAGGCTGCTGGTTCAAAACCTGGCTGCAGCCTTTACTTTATATGTGTGGAGTTTTCGTGTTCTGCCTGTACATGCAGGCCTTTTTCCCCCATTTCTTCATCATTAAAATTCACCCAGTGATTCAGTCAGGAGGTAAAAATGCATATTGGCAGGTTTATAGTCACATTTTATTTTTGACATTTAAAGGGACAGAAACATCATACTCCATACTGAAAAAAACAGTAACAAGTTAGACATTCCAACATTTGGTGCGCGGGTAACTTAACGCCTATTTATCACAGTTAATTTTACACTATTCGTCCAAGGAAAACAGATTTAGGATATTTGTCCCTCAGGTACGACCACTGCACAAAAAAATAGTCAGATATCAGGTACAGGATCTTCCCTGTTAATGAAAGCGTCTGCACTCGGCAAATGCTTTCRACGTACACGATTAGGACTTTCTTCATTCCCAGAATTCCAAGCAGCAGTCCTGCCACACACAGAGGAACACAGGTCCCTGGGCCATTACACAGCACCTGAACAAACACACAAACACACGGAGAGGAGGGGGCTGAGCACATTTCAGCACAGTGACACACACACAGAAAGTTCAGCATGTGTTTGCCATTTTATCAGCATTGTTGTTGTGTTGTGTTAATCAGGTGTAAACTCCCACTTTGTCAGCTTATTTCCAGTTGGTGTGTCATGCTGGAACTGTGTTCTCTACAGAGCAGCAGGTTTCTGGACAGAAACACTTGTTCAGAGAAAAATAAAACAAGAGATAAAGCTGTGGTTTGTAGGTTCCCACCGGGTKGGGCTGAAAGTTGCTCTGCCAGGCAAGTRGTCCCTGCTTTTTTCAGTGTTCTCCTTAAAAYGTACACGTCATCTGAAGTCCCCTTTTCTGAGGCTGTAGGTGACCTCCTCTACCTGAGGCAGAGACTGCCCCCGGCCTGAACAGGGGCCTTCTACCCGATTCAGGGTGAGAAMCACGTCCTCCAGAGGAGCCAAGTCTCATCCCAGCCGTTCACTAGGGCTGTGTATTGGCAAGAATTTGGCGATACAATACATATCATAACAGAGGGGTCACGATACGATATATCCCGATATATTGCGATACTGTAAGCAAGGCAATGTATTGAGATATATTGCGATTTTTTGTCCAAAAATTTTATTAAATAAAAACCTCTTACTGAAAAAAAAAAGCTAATTTTTACTTACAATGCTTACATTGGCTGTGTCCTAAACGGCAGGACGGGTCCTCCGGAGGACCCAGACTCCCCGGTCGTGGCAGGCCGGGTCCTTGGTAGACCGGGAAGACCGGAAAAAAAGAGGTTGTGAATTTGGACGGTCTAGCCTCCACTCCTTACCCCGGCATACATCTTGTCACCTAGCAACTGCGACGACGCTAAACAAGCAAACTTAAATCAAAACTAGAAAAATATCAATATATTAGCATTATTAATATCACAAAACTATAAAATTAACTTAAAAGTATCATTTGAAGAACTAATTGACCCGCTGTAGGTTCATGTTTATTTCGCGTTTTTTATGACGAAAAAATAATATTTGAAAACATGTCCATACAAATGATAAAAGTATTAGAATTACAACCGCTAAAAAATGTAATTTTTATTTCACCATATTTTTATTTAAAATGTATTCTTTTCTCTCGCTTCGTCCGACATTACTAGCTTAAAAAATCTCCGGTCGGGCCGCAATGCATTATGGGATATGCTGGGCCGGGAAGGATCCATCGGACCTGTCCTTCGATTCGGGCCAAAGGAAGGACGTATTTGTCGGCCGCATCGGAGGAGTCTTCGGTTTTGGACGTCCTTCGTCGAGGCGCTGTGACGTATGCGGCYGACAAATTCGACCTTCGGAGGACCCGTCCTGCCGTTTTGGACACAGCCATTGTCTCCTACAATGCTAATGCTACCCTTACTCTCTGGCGCTCAAGAGGTAGAGGAGCCAAATGGCTGGCTCACTGCTGCCAACTAGTGGTCAGAGGCTGAACTACAATATAAAAATGAACGGTTGGCAAGAAGGTTGACATTTTAAAACTTAATAAAAAAATCGATACAGGGCTTTAGAATATCAATACAGTATCAAGAAATGAAATATTGTGATATTTCAGTGTATCAATATTGTCTTACACCCCTACCGTTCACACTCTGATACTAAAGCTCCTAAAGGTCTATTATCTCCTGCTGACACCCTGTCTTGTACATTGCCCAGTCAGAACTCTGTCCTCCAGATCCATGTAGCTCTCAGTGTGTGATTGGTCACTACTTTGTGGGCGCGTTTGTTTACGCAGGGCAGTGCGTACTTCTGCATGTCATTTTTCAAAAATAAATAAATAAATAAATAAAAATATGGTCTGCTCCCAGAAGCCTGGTTGTTAAATTGGCAAGATGGAATGTGCAACCCATGTACACTAATGAGTTTCCTCACAGAAAAACACAAGCCTCTCTTYAAACATCTGAAACATCAAGTGAAGAGGCAACACATGAAGAACAAATCACCATAAGAGCTCATTTAYACATCTATGCAAATTAGGGATGTMCYGATCAGATACTCMGTRTCGGTGGCAGATWTAGCCATTTTTTGAAAATMGGGCAGAATCRGATTTAGTCATGTGATCGGGCCGATCCAGTTTTCGCGACAGTTTCCATCATGCTTAAAACTGCCGTTAAGAAGTCAAGACGCACACAAGTGTGTAACCATGTCCACAGTGTGGGAACACTTTTCAATAGAAAACAATGATGCTGAAACTGCATCTTGCAAAATCTGTAAACTGGATGTTTCTCGTGGTGGGAACAGCAGGGCTCGCTTTAATACCACCAACCTTTTCACTTGGAAAGAAATAAAGAAATAAAGCTATCAGATCGGTATCGGAAAGACTAATCATCAAAAAAATCGGATTGTATCGGGAGCCAAAAAATCTGGATCGGGACATCCCTACTGCAAATGATAAAGGTCTAACAACACAACTGCTTTAAACAGATATTTATTTCWAACTGTACTCCTGACTATTATTATTGCACATGTGCAGATTTCAGACCGTTACCTKTTGCACATTTACACTTTAARCACYGATTGTACTGTTYCCTTTCTTGATGCYATTATTGAATTGTTCCCTTCTGATGTTATTATCTCTAGTTTYGTCTCTWTTTTTGTTTGAAGTGTGGTCTTTTTTGTCATTTATCCCTTATTACCTTGTCCTTTTAGTGCTTATTCTTTAAAGTATGGTCGTCTCTCGGCATTCAAAGTGGTCGACAAAGTAAGAATTTCATTGCTCAGGGAAACGTGTTTTCATCTGTGTATACTACAATAAACACTTTGAATCTTTCTCTCGCTTCGTCCACAAAATRTTCTACCAGTCGACCCCCAATCCATCTTGCGATAGGGTGGGCTGAGAAGGATTCACCGGACCTGTCCCTCAAATCGAGGGAAAAAGAGGACGCATGGAAGAGCCTTTAGATTTGGACACAGCCAATGTTTAGCTAAATGATACATGTGCTACACTGGGAGTGCTGAGRGAGGGATTGTGATGATTTAATCCCCGTGTCTTCAATGTAAGTATGAACACTCGGTAAGAAAAAGAAGTTTGAAATGACATAATCACTGATCCGCTGTCTCATGTCTTGTGGATGTATGAACCAGCCTGAACTGTATGCTGAAGGTCAAGGACCAAAGACGCCAACAGAACCACATCATCTGCATAAAGCAGAGACGAGACCCTGACGTTTCCCCAACTACAAATTCTTAAGAGCATATTCAAAAACATGTGAGTGTGCAAAACATTTTACTTAAATTTACACAAAACAAGACACATTCCATTTTTGGTAGCAGCACACAGTTCATCAGTTCCTCACATGATTCTGTGGATTCATAAAACCTTAGATTTGCTGCACACTTCAACAGATGGACTTATGAAAATAGTTCTGCTGCTTCTCACGCTGCTTCGAGGGGTTCTRTTTCCCCAAAAGGTAAGACAGTTTACTGAAGGAATGCAACAACTCTGGATCCATGCCCTTCTTTTTTTGCCCTGAGGTAAAACCAACCCTCAGAAGCCGACAGTCTAAAGGTACAGAACAGTACAGGAAATGATTGTGTGTTTGGAGAATGAATGAAACTGAACTGAACCAAGCAGCTGAAGTGTTTTCCTGCCAATAAACACGTTAATTATATGTTCTCAAATGAAAAGGCAACCAGAACAAAAACACATCTTCTATTTGTGACTCACAAACACCGAGAGGGCGCCTCAGTGAGACCTAAACGTCAGGGAAGGGGGGGGCATCAATAAGTGGCGTGAAGCCAGGGGGAGGCTGAGGGAGTTCTGCGCTCACAGGAAACCAGTCGGAGCTGCTCTGCAGCCTGGAGAAGTCATCACACAGCTCCACGGCGTCGACACAGAAGCTCTGTAATCAACTGCACTAATAACTCCTCAAATCTGAGCTGTTCTGGGACCTGAGGGCCAGACCGACGAGTTCATGCTGCCACTCATCCAGGACGTGACTAACCCTAAAAGTTAAAAAATACAGAGTAGCACAGAGAACCTGGTGTTCGTAGCTCCTGAGAAGAACTTTAYATTTGGATTTGTCTAACAACAGAACAGTTCTCTGCTTGGCTTCAGTTTATTTTAAATGAGCTTTAGTTCAAAGACGACGACMGCGTTTCTCAGTGTTCACGYGTTGTTTCTTCTTTGCACGATAGAGCTTTAGCCAGCATTTGTGGGTGGTAGGGTGAGCTGTGTTTACAGACAATGAGTTGTGSAAATGTCCCTACGGGCAGTGGTGGCGCAGAGGTTAGAGGAGACACAGCACCCACGTCTTCCTCCACCGTCATTTGTCCCAGTCTGGACTCTTGAGCAAGTCCCCACCCAACCCCCTACTCCTGGCACCCTAGATGACAGCTGCAGACTCCACACGTGTAAAGG